CCAAGTTGAGGAGGCTGCAGACCCCTGAGGGCCTCCGATTAAGGTGGAGGGGGTTGGGGGAAGCTGGTGAGATGAATGTTCCAGCTCCCTCTGTGGAATACATTGCTTGTTGCTGTCAGATCATGTCATTGCCAGGGTTGTTGCCTTAGAGGCCCCAATGTGGGGAACAGTGGTCTTGATGGTTCCGAGATGCTGTCATTTTCATTACAACAGGGGTGAGGCACTTTGTAGAGCCTGTTGGCTGTCCGTGTCTAGCTCAGTGTGCCCACTGACATACGTTCTTGTTGTAGAGCCTGGCTTAGTGTTGTTCAACTTGCTTTCTGTCTTTGCCTTGGAACTTGGCTCTCTGCTGGCTTAGAAGAGCTGGCTGTCTTGTCTGTATCTGGCTGTGCTGTCCATCCTTCCATGAGAGTCTGCAGCCAAGTTGGCTCAGTCCAACACTGCGGGCTCCGGGCTTGGACCGCACACCCATGTGTTTTTCTTGATGTTGGAGACAGTGCAGTGGTCTGGTTGGAGGTCCGCTAAGGCACCTCCCCTGAGCGCTCCTTAGACTTACTCTCATGTTGTTCAGCTGGTTCAGGCCAGACCCAGCATGTCCCCTGCACCAGCACTGTTGAATTCTTCATTGAGTGGAGGATCACACCTCTGACTACCCTGACTGAGAGGTCAGCCTGGGGATATGTTCGGGAAAAGAGGGGTATTAGCTACACCACAATTTTCTGCAGCATTTCTTTCTTAGAATTTTATTCTATTTATTTTGCAGGTAGAGAAAGAAGGAGGAGGGAAGGGAGAGGGGAGAGAGAGATTTCATCTGTTGCCCTACTCCCCAAATGGCCATAATCACCAAGGCTGTGCCAGTCTGAAGCCAGGAACCCGGGCGTTCCTCTAGGTCCCCACAAGGTTGGGCCGTCTTTCACTGCTTTCCCAGGTGCATTTCAGGGAGCTAGAGTAAAAGTGGATCAGCCGGTTTTTGAAACATGACCAGCGTACAATGACGGTGTCGCAAGCAGCAGCATAACCTTCCGTGCCACCCTGCTATCCTCTGCGGTGCCTCTTTAAAATAGGTAGTGTTAGATTCCACTCAAGCTACTGAGGCAGAACATGGAGAGGTGGGACTGAGCAGCATCCTAAGAGGGAAGAAAGATCTAGAATAAAAGTTTTGGTTGGGGGGATAGAAAAGCAGTGTAGCAATGGTTTATAAACAGATTCAGAGTGAAGAAGTTGTTTCAAGTTAATGTGGTGGGGGGCAATAAAAAAATGGAAAAGATCTGAAGCAGAAAAGCCCGTTTTAAACAATCCTCACGTCTCTCTTGCATGTCCCGCTGTTGGCGTTGTTCCTGGGGAGGGAGATCTGTGGGCGGCATTACTGTGCTGGTGGACATTCCCCTTGCCTTGATGACGGGGTTCCTGCACTTTCTTGCGCTTCTCTTCCTGTCATACAAATGAGATCAGGTAGAAGCTGAGATTTCTGAAAGCACTACCAACTCTGTGAAACACATTTCCAGAAGTCTTCACATGGAGGCTTCCAGTGTCATGCCAAGAAAAACAAACCTACTTCATTTTTGTTATTCATTGCAGCTTTTAAATTTAGAAATAAAAATAGCGCTTACAGACAATATGCTCAAATAACACAGATAACTCCTAAGTGCTTTCCAGCCCCAAGCTTACTAGTTGCTAATATTTTCTTTTTTTTCTTAATTATTTGGTTATTTATATATTTATTTAAGACAATTATTTTTATTGTTGATGATTTTTACATAGTTGATTAGGGTGCAAGAGGTCAAGGGCTACAGGAAGGTGGGTGAGCCCATTATTTCTACATTCTCTTTCTTTTTCCTTTCTGCACCTGGGGGAAGAGGGACGATTGGGGAAAGCCGCACCCAGCCTTCCAACCGCTTCCATATCCTAGGATGGAGGACAGCCACCTGACGCCATCCCAGGGTCCCCGAAGTGGGGCAAGCTCTGCCAACCTTGCCAAGCATGATGAAATCTCTCTAGAATCCATGGGCTGATATAGTCCATCTTCAAGTCTCTGCCCATGTATTCACTGCCAATGCTTGGCTGGGGTAGTTGTTAAATTTATTCTGTCCTCCATCCTCTGTTATGGTGCCAGGTGTCCTCTGCAGGCTCCGATGGACTGCCATATCCTCCATGTGCACCTGGGTATGCTGTCTACTTCTCCATCTAAGCCACCGAGGAGGCCCAGCTCTGACACATCCACTCCATTGTAAGACCATGGAACATGCAGTTTTCTCCATGTTTGGGGTTCCAAGTCCAGCAATTCAGTTGGGGAGATCCCCCAAGAAACTTCATCTGAGGTGGATTCTTATGTGTGGTTGCCAGTACAGGGTCTGGTACAGTCCATCATACACACTGGTAGTTGCAGTTGCTGGGTCGGTTCTGTCTCCAGCCCTGTCTTCTACATAAACCAATGGGGGTTGGAGCCCAGTCAGATCCTGCCCACCACACATGCAGCTCTCATGCAAACCAGTGGGAACTGCAGCCTAGTCGGAGTGACTCACAATAACACCCACCAGCCCTCCCCTGCCCTGGTTCCCATGCTTGCCAGTATGTACAGCAGACTGGTCCAGTTTGTCCCACATCCCATTCAGCTCTCTAAAACATCAATGGGCATTGAAGCCCAGTTCAACCCAAACAGCCCCACTATACAGCCACACACATGCTGGTGGGTGCCACTTTCTGTCTAGTCATGCCTGCCCCAGTCCTGGTTCTCAGGCTCATCAGTCAGAGTGGCAACTCAAGGGGGAGATGCCCACCGTTTCCCTACTTGGCCCACTCCCACTCCTGGATCTTTCACTCTCCAGGTGGTTCTGCAGTTTGGCTTGACAGAATTAGCCTCCTGTGCCAGCATCTGCCAGCTGATGCTGCGGCAAACCCCGGCCAACCCATACCCACTCTGGCTTGTGCAAGCATCAGTAGGAACAGTAAAACCAGCCTGGCTTTCCCCTGATCCAGCTCACATGAGGCCAACAGGTTGAGGGGGGCATTGCCAGACTGTGCCTCAGTGCCCAGCCAGTACACATGAGACCATGCTGGACCACCATTCCCTGTAGTTGCTAATAGTTTCTACGTAGGATGTATCCTTCCATTTTTCTAAAAGAAGGATTTGTCATAAAATTCAGACCCCACATTATGTTTTGTTTTACTGTTCCTTTGTTCATTTCAAATGTCACTTTTTTGTGGTCACGATGAGCCAATGTCAACAAGAGACTGAGTGAGAGGAGAACTGGTTTGTCACACACTTCACTCTGTCCACACCAAAGAAATGATCTCCAAAAACTCATAGTGTGTTATTTAATTATCATGCCTAAATCATGGGGCTATCTGGAAATGCAAAGCAGGTGCCAACCACCAAGTGTAATGCTGGGTTTGGTCGTAGTTGGCGAGCATGGGAGCCAACCACCCAGGCTCCCAAGGCCCCAGCCATTTTAGTCCCAGCTTGGCTCTGACAACTGAAGATCTGAGAGTGGAATTTTGGTTTTAAGAATCAAGGTGTGACACCGCCCCCACCTCCACCCCTTGCAGATGGCTCCCTGACAGAAGCCAGAGGCGTACACAGCGAGATGGCGCCAGGCAGAAACATAGTAGACAGACGCCTCTGCTTTAATGCTCTGTCCCGAGGCTGTTTCCCTAGCGCTTTGTCACAACAGAAAGCTGCAGTGTGGTAAGACTGTTTTGATGTACTGGCAGTCTGAATGCTGTTATTACAAGGGTGCCAGGAACCCCTGTGTTTCTAAAATATTCACAAGTAAATTGAGTAATTTTACATGAGATATTTTGAAGGTACCAAAATGACTCTCAGCTCATGTTGTGACTTTGGGATTTGGGTTAAGTACACAGACTGTGGAGTGGATGGCTAACTGAATGGTTTAAACCCCTGGCCTTAACCACAACACAATGTGTACATACAGTCCCCGAATCCTGCTGTAGATTCTTACTTCTAGCAATGCAGACCCTGGAAAGCAGCAGTGATGGCTAACATAACTGTGATCCTGCCTGTGGGTAGCCTGGATTGAATTCCTAGCATCCAGCCTCAGCCCAGCCTCAGCCCAGCTCTGGCCATGGCAGGCTTAGGGGGAGGGAACTAGTGGACAGATCTAGCCTAATTGTGTGTCTGACTGCTTGGCCCTCTCTGTTTGCCTGTCAGGTAGATAGGAAAAATGTGGGCTAGAAAGAAGTTCAGGCTTTGAGTGAAGACCGAAGAATCTCAAAAGAGAATCCCTGGGTGAATGAGTGTATGTGGCCATGCTTCTCTTTATGAATTGCTTTCTGGGAATGGATAGGATCAAGCTGGTTGTGTAAGCCAGGAAGGCAGGACAGGCATTGCCCTTGGGTAAGGTGAATGGGTTCAGGGTCATGGGCGGGAGGGCGGGTAGCTTCCTCAGACTGAAGGTGCTTGGGTTTAAGGAATGGATTCATGGAAGTGCCATTCAAATGGGAACATTGGTCACCTTTCAGCTGTGCATTTGTTTTGTTAATGGGTGTGCTGTGGGCACTACTAATTTGTCTGCCTATAACGCTTTGTGAGAGTGGCAAAACCTTTGCTCAGGACCGAAGGCACTAATGGAGGTTACAGTGCAAACTGTAAACTTTTATTCCCTTAAGCCAATAGGACCTGAGGAACTGGAAGATTCAGTGTCCTTATGCCTGCATGAACCTTATGTAGCAGTTTCCTTCTTGGAGTTTTATTTTTTGTTCAATAAAGGATGTCAAAATGTGGATACTCCAAAGTACTCCCAATAGTTACAGTATGTTACATTTCTCATTAGTTTGGGGGCTGTAAATAGCTCATTATGTGGCCAGGGAAGAACAGTCTCAATCCTGGAGACATGGAGTGCTGTCAGAGGGTGACCACTCCCTGGCCACCCCTTGCAGGGCTGTCCAGATTCCATTTGCAAAGGAGAGGCTACACAGCGGGGATCTGCTCTGGACTGGGAGACAGACGAGCTCTAACTCTGTCCTTCTCTGTTCTTTCTCAGTACTTCGGCTCCTGAAAGAGGGGGCGGATCCACACACTGTCCTGTCTTCCGGAGGGTCTCTACTCCACCTGGTAAGAGCTTCAGTGGTTGGTGACACCTTAAGACGGGGTTTCTCATGGGGCTGGCAACATGGTGGCAAATTGTACATCTGAGAGATCAGAAATGATGTGCTTCAAAGGGACAGACTCGAATACTTAGCTGCACCCATGGTTAATTCTGCACTGCAGCTTGCAGTTGTCATAAAACAAAGGCAAGTAGGCCTTGTCCGGAAGAAAATGCTTTGAAGAAAGAAGTCCAGTGCGGTGGCTCTGTCGTACACTGGTGGGCAGCCCTCTGTCTTTCCCTGTACAGTTCCTCTATTGTTAAATGCTATTTTGCTCTACCCTATGTGACCTGGCTCATGTAAGTGTGAATCAAATCCACCCTCTATTCTTTTTTAATGTTGTGTCATTTAAAAGGCTGAGTAACAGAAAGAGCTGGCTCACTCTCCCAAGTTTCTGCAAAATCCAAGTCTTGTGCGGGCTGAGGCCGGAAGCAAGGGTCTCCATGTCGGTTCTTCATCAGCTGCTTCCCAGGAACAATAATAGGAAGCTTTGCTGGAAGTGTCAGCAGTCAGCTGGCAGGTATCTCAATGCTAGCATTCCTTGGCCCACCACTCTGCGCCTCCTACTGTCTCTTATTTTGGAAACAAGAGATAGTTAAGTGAATAAATAAGTGAACACCTGGAAATCTTTTTTTTAGAGATTGATTTATTTTTATTGGAGAGGCAGATTTACAGAGAGAAAAGGAGAGAAAGAAAGATCTTCCATCTGCTGGTTCACTCCCCAAGTGGCCGCAATGGCAGGAGATGAGTCAATCTGAAATCAGGAGCTAGGAGCTTCTTCCAGTTCTCCCTTGCAGGTGCAGGGTCCCAAGGCTTTGGGCCGTCCTCAACTGCTTTCCCAGGCCACAAGCAGGGAGCTGGATGGGAACTAGAGCAGCCAGGACATGAACCAATACCCATATGGGATCCTGGCACATGCAAGGCAAGAACTTTAGCCAATAGGCTACTGTGCCAGGCCTATCAAACTCTAATTTTAATTAATGACACTAATTTGTTGTTAAAGGAAGTAGAAACTGCAGGCAGATATGTGGCCTAATGGCCACGATGCTGTTTAGATGCCAACATAACATACTGGAGTGACCTAGTGTGATTCTCAGCTCTGGATCCTGGGTGGGTAGCTAGTGGTGGCTGTAGTGTTTGCATCCTTGCCACCCGTGGAGGACACCTGGTCAGTGTTCTTGCATTCGGCCCCATCTTGGGGCTACCATGGGCATTTGGGGAGCACATCAGTGGGTGAGAGGTCCTGTGTGTTTGTCTGCTTGCTGCCTCTTGAGTAAAATATTGAAAGATACATTAATAACGTAATAAAAGAGAAAGTGGTACCCAATAAACTTTCAAGAAATCGGGGATGCAAGTAATCATAAATCAGTGGAACAGAAAGCTTAAAATATTGAAGGGGAGTTTACACAGTGCTATAGATGGTTGTTGCCTGCATTGGAAAGGCATTTCCAGGTTAAAGTTTGCCATTTCTGGTGTGTTTGATTATGAAACCTGTCCGTTTCATACTTCGATTATTACAGGATTTATAAAACATGTTAAAGAGCCATACCTCCTGATCATTACCTCCTGGATTTCTTCTAGACTGGGAGACGACATGAAGAGCCTTCCCTCTCTGTAGTCAGGAGTTTCCCTTTGTGGTCACAGCATAGCTCAGCACGAGCTTCGACAGTCGGCCTGCTGCCATCTTGTACTGAGGACAGAGTTTTCCATGCAGAGCAGGCTGTTGTTGCTATCACAAGGGAAGTGTTACTTCTGAACATTTGTCATGTGCATTGTGTGAGTTGTGGACAGAGAGGTTAGAGGCAGAGAGAGAGACAGGAGGAGTGAGGAGGAGGCGGCTGAGAAAGCTGACTGGGCCAGCACTTCTTCACGTGCACATGTAACTGGTCTGACTTCTGACAAGCGCTGTGTCTGTACAATCAGTCAATCTGCAGGCACTTCCTTTATTTCAAAAATAAGACCTGGACGCTACCACCTCTCACCCCAGCTCCCCTTCTGTCCTGCACTGCCGTCTCCCCTCTGCATCTTTCTCACTTGTCCCTCTGGTGCTTGCTTTGCCTGCGTGTAACTCCATCCGTCACAGCTGCGACACTGTCACACTCCAGTCACTTCTTGTCCACCAGGGAAGCATGCACAGTCCTGCCCATGTCAGCATTGTGATTGGTTGCCAGGTTCCAGTCCACATGTGGGTGACTCACCTCTAGTCACTCCCTCGTGGTCTCTGTTCCACCTACAGTGGTCACACACCTGCTCCTGAAAAGTGGGCCTGGAGACCTCGTGCTTTTGCTTCTTGACTTACTGTCTACCTCCCTCTCTCTCTGAAGCCATTGGCCTACTTGGTCACTTGCTTTGGGTGGGTCTCTGTGTTCATGTCATTTAACCCCCACTGCTTTGCCCAGCATCCTCTAGACAAAACGGTAACCCACTGCTCTCACCCACTGTCAGCTCCACTCCCATCCCTTTGTCTGTTTTCCCAAGCTTTATTACACAATTGCTGCCCAAAAGGCTGTAGGTTCACATGACTATTTTCTGTTTACTAGAATGCCAGCCTTGGCTTGGGTACTTCTCCATTTACATTTCATAGGAGTTAGCCAGACATGCAGAAGATACTCAGTAGACTTGTTGAATGGATATTTAATTAATGTTTTTGCTTACTTAGTCAATATCTAATGGAAATTAGAGAGAAAGGTACAAAAAAATACATTCTGTGCCCACATTGAGTTTGGTTTCCCAAGAGAATCAGAAAAATATTGAGTGCAGCGTATCTGGAAGCAGAGTGAGCCAGGCAGGAAAATCTGTATAGAACCACTCTTAGCCACCTTTGGGTTGGATATGAAGCTTTTTCTCTCTCTCCTGTCAAACCTACCCTTTTATCCAGCTCACAAGAGATGGTCTTTGCTTCTTTATAGATCTTGATACAGTGATTTGTGATTCGTGGTGTGTGCCTTCCTGAATGTGCTAGCCTGAAATTTCAAAAACCGCTGCTGTGTTTACCACTTAGTACATGTCCAGCAGGTGCTGCACAAACCCCCTTGGTGTTTGATAACTGGATGAATGAGTGCCAGTTAGCTGTCTGAGAGCAAGTAACAATAGAGCAACAATGTCTAGAGGCAGTGAAGTCACAAGAGAAGATGGAGAGTGAAGGGGGGAGGAAGGTGCGGGAGGCACTCTAACACCTGTTGATGGTGTTTTATCTCATGTAAAGGACACGTGCTTGAGACAAAGGGCGAGGAGAGGAGAGGAAGCCTCGTGGCCCTCGTGGCCCTCGTGGCCCTCGTGGCCCTCGCGGCAGCCGAAGAACCGAGGATCAGTGCTGGAATCCTCTCTTCCTGGACTTCCTGACTAAACAAAAACAAATGAAAAATTGCAGGTTGCCAGAGAGACAAAATTACAGGGTTTTAAAATGCCTTAGGTACTGGAAAAGGCAATTTAGCTATCTAAAATGTCAAGTGAGAGGCGCATGGCTGTTTACCCACCTCTCAGACCTGTGTGCTGAAGCCCTAATTACACATCCTCAGACTCGGAGAGAAAGGCAGCGTGGGCTTGTGCAGGGCCTTGGGTGGAACTGCAGAAATGCTGAGATTAGCTGAGTGGTGGATGTTCCACCCCATTATCATTCATTCAGGACAGCATTCCAAGTGTTGGTCTCCCTAAGACAGTTCTCAGAAGGACAAAAAAGTTGGGGATTAAACATTCCTTCAGGAATTAGGTAAATACTTGCATTTTTAAAATTGTATCTTTATCTTCTTCCTTTTAAATAGTCACATGTCAGACATTTGACAGATGTAGGGTTCCGTGATGGATGAAACATGATGGCCTAAAGGAGTGATATCTACACCCCAGGAACTTAGTCTCCTGCGAATAACATAGGAGAAAAGTCATGTCTAGGCAGTGAAAACAAGACTTATGTGAACATCCCATAATGTTATGCATTAAGAGCCTTAACAAATGAACGATTGAGAAGCACCCAAATGGCCTACAATGTTTGGAAGCATCCACATGGAATGTAACCCCCTGACGGGTTCTTTGTTTCACTGAGCCAATTCCAGTTTAACTTCATGATATTGAAACAATGAAATCCCTGTAGTGGCCAAAGGCAGTTTTGGGAAGGTGTGTGCAGTACAGCCGGATGGGGGTTGGCAGACAGAAAAATGGACAATTTTTTTTTTTAATAACTGACACCATATCTTGAGAGCAGAATAGAAACTTTCTTGAAACTGATTACAGTTGGAGGGGGCAGTGCAGTCTTTTAATTTTTACCATTTCCTTTTTGTGTTGTTTAACACAAAATAACAACACATGGATATTACATGTAATAGAAGAAACTATTAAAATCACAAGAATTATGTTTTTATTAGAAGCTTAAATTTTAAATGCTTTGCATATGAGAAAATCTGTGCTCTGATCAAAGATGCTCTTTCAACTTTACTGTGAATTTCCGTAACTTCTCTAGTTCTACCAGAAGCAGAGATAATTACCACGATAGGAGAAAATGATGTATTCAAAATTAAATAGAATGTTTTGTATTTTGACAGGAGGCAGATTATCATGGTGCCAGAGCAGTTCCTCCAAAAAAATATCTCCTCTTTTAAAGAACAGATATAGTTGGTGTGCAGAAGCTGCCAGAGCAGCTAACCCTGGTCGGCCAGCCTGAGGCATCTGGTGATTGATCCTGTGGCTTATCCTTCTGTGCTTTCCCGGGACAAAAGAAAATCCGTCCCAGAAGAAGGCAGCATACCCTCTCCAGGGGGTGTTCTTGGGGTGTGATTGGGGGCCCCGATGCATCATGATACAGCAGGAAGCAGAGGGAAAGAGATGGGAGTGTCCGTGAGAGTTGGATGGCTCTGAGATCTGAGCGTGAATGGCTATAGGGAGCTCAGGATGCTGGAGTGGGTAATGGTGGCTGTGCTGGGAATCGGGTCTCAGGATGCTGGAGTGGGTAATGGTGGCTGTGCTGGGAATCGGGTC